AGCAGCCTGAAGATACAGAATAGGAGCAAGAAAAAAACCCTAAAAAGACAAACACTGGAATTTATTTTTTTTTAAATTCCTGTTGCTGAAAATCATATCTATCACATTTGCTAAAGAAGTGGTATAAAATGCATATTGGATTGTTGATCCTTACTGCCAGCCTTGACAGCTTTCATATACAGAATCTGGCAATTACTTTTCTTTTTCAGTTCCTTAGCAAAATTACATCTTCCCCAGGGACCTCAGCTCCAACCAAGGTAGGCAGTTTCCAGACTTCTAGGACTTTATTCATACCACATAATCTGTACCTTCTTGTAACAGAAAAATGTTTCTGTAGTAGAATCAGATAATCTATTTTTCTCTCTCTTTTTTATCCCCTGAACACCTTTACCTGTGGAACCTTGTCTTTTATGTCACTTGAAAGTGAGATTTTTTAACCTATATTAGATTGTGTGTCCATTCAAAGGGCCACCTGGAGGTGTAGTGATAAAAAAAAATTCCTCATAGACAAGGTGTTTTTCAAAGCAGCTGTTAACAGACCTCCTGGAACAGTAGAGTATCAAGGTATTGGAATCCAGAGGGGATTTTTGAAGGACTTTTCTCTTTCTAGTATGTATTTTTCTTCTAGTCCTGGTTTCAAACATCGTTACTGCACCTCTTGGCTGTGGAAAGAGATGCGTGGCCATTGCTATCCCATACTTTGATTTCCCACATCTATGTGACAACACAATGTTTTGAAAAGACAGCAGGCTTTCATGTACAGACACCCAATGTTTTGTTGGGGTTTTTTTGTTTGTTTGTTTGTTTGTGTTTTTTTTTTAAATTGCACAGGATGTTTATGCCTGCTGCGCTTAATTTTAAAATCCCATTATGTCATAAAAATGTTTTCTCTTTCATTTCTCTTCCATCTTGTATCAGTTTTCATTAAAAAAAAATCTTTGACTGCAGCACAAATTCCCACTTAAACTTATTTTTGTCTCATAGAAGCTAATGTCGCAGACACTCTAAAAAGTGATTCCACCCTCACTCACACTCCCACAGCACTCCTCACCTTTTGATCTTGCATTTGATGGTAGTGCATTTTCTTTAATCTCAGGATTCCATACTTTCCATTAGCAAGAAAAGTTCATTTGTTGGTAATTTTCTATTCAGCGTGGATGAATCTTCTAAGTGTTTCTGTAACAGTTTACAGTATAATGGCTTTCTTTAAAACAGACTTGGAATACCTTTGTGTAATATTTGAGTGCCCACCTCTCAGTCTTCTCTGCTTCAATAATATGGGAGGATTTCAAATGGGTTTTGATGCTGGTGGGAAGATCAGGGAAGTTACTAACTAGAAGTAAGTAGTTGGTTATTGGAACAGCAGCTGAGAAGCAAGCGAAGGATAAAGAGAGAAGTAAACAGGAAGGTATGAAAAGAAGTTTTCAGGAAATGCTACTGAAAGAAGGAAAAATTGTCAGAGATGAGCCAATGCAGAGAGGTGAATCCCATGTAAACATGCTGCTTTGACAAGGAACAGAAAAAGTGTTGTTATGGAGACATTTTCAATATCACCTTTTCCAAAATGTAAGACAAATCCTTGGGAGTGTGGTAAGTCAGAAAAAGTTTGGATCATGCTTCAGTGGGGTATTGTGGTGCAAGCTACTATTTTTATTTCTTTGGAGATCCAGGAGATAAAGAGCATGTGGATGAGCTTATGAAGTGTTTTCTTCTGCATGTCTTTTTTGTCATTCAGCTTTGAAAACAGCGTGAAAGCTCTGTTCTCTCTTTACCTAAATTACTGTGAAACAGTGGTGGGATAGTCATTTCCGTATGTGAGCTTCTTAAAAATAGTTAAATGTTCAGCATTGTTAATCCAGAGGTTATGAAGTGAAGTTCTCTTGCTGCTCCACTTAATGGTATTTGCTGCAGAAAAAAAAATAAATGTGGGAGAGGAAAATGAGAAACATTTATACTATGCATTTTCCACTTTGCCATCCCATAAATTGAAATTGCCTAATTGTTCATCAGCTTCACAATAGAAATGACTTTTATTTTTTTCCAGGCACTTAGAGATGACTTAAGTGTCAATTTGCAGAACAAAGAAGCCAATTTATGTATCAGGTTTTCTCTGTTTCTTTATTCTTTAAAATAATTTACTTTATTAGTTTAGTGTGCTTGAAAGGTGAGGGATTGACAGGACTACAGTGAAGAAATATCAGTTCACAAAACTAGGTCATATACATACATCTTTACTAATGGTAGAGTTGAAAAGGTAGAATTTTGTCCGCTTCCACTTGTATTTAAATTACCTTAAAAAAAAAAAAAAAGAAAAAAACCCCAGCCTGCTCCCTATCACATTCTGAATCACATTGTACCCAGTGCTAGAAGTAAGTGCATGTAAGTATATGAGAACAAAACTAAAGACTGTTTGAAAAGCCAACAGCATCTCAACCTTCTTCACCCACAACTGATTCCACCCCACTAAATCCAGTGGGAAGCTTTCTGCTGGTACCCAGGAGTAATGTTTACTGTAGTCAACATGAAGAAAATAAAGTTGATTAAGGCCGCTCACAATTTCTTCATATTCTGCTCTTATTTCTGCCTTGTAAATATGCCTGCTTGTTCGCATGCCCATGCATTGTATGAATGAGATGCTGTTTTGCTAAATCATTGCATCAACGTTCACATGCACATCCAGCTCAGTCAGTAGCTGAATATTTATGATGTCGCAGCTGGTGCTGCATCCAGCCTGGGAAAATTATTATTTCTTCTCTGAAGAAAAGAATTTTTTTACACTTATATGTTTCAAGAAGAAATGGAAAAACTTGAGAGCACTTGAGTCCTGTAGTAGAACTCTCAGTACTGTATGGCCACCTTGAAAACAGAAAAGTCCTTGTGTTACATAAATTTTATTCTGTGGATGATGTAAAGGGAATCAGTGTGTGCTTGTTGTCCCTATTAGCTTGGGATTTTTAAATACACATAGTTATATTCACCAGTTGATTAATCTCCTTCTGGATATTTATTATAGTTTCCTTCCAAGCAGGTCACCCTGGTTCCTTTGCCTGCTCTGAGCAGCCTGACCATGCGTGTTGGACCCTCTGCTTTGTACCTTCTGCCACTCACATGGTTCTTTGGTATCCCATGGCCAAAAGTCTCTTTGCCCTTGTTCAGGCACCAACAACACCTCTTCAATGTATATGAAGGAGTGGTGCCAAGAGGATGGAGCCAGGCTCTTCTCAGTGGTGCCAACACCTAGAATGAGAGGCAATGGCCAGAAACTAATACACAGGAGGTTCCACCTGAACATGATGTTGAACTTTTTTTCTGCAGTGACCATACATAGGAAAAGATTGCCCAGAGAGGCTGTGGAGTTTCCCTCAGTGAAGATATTCAAGAACTGCCAAGATACAATCCTCTGCCATGTGCTCTAGGACGACCCTACTTGAGCAGCAGGTTGGACCAGATGACCCACTGTAGTCCCTTCCAACCTGACTCATTCTGTGAGTCTGTGATTCTGTGACAACATACCTGCTAGTACCTTGCAGACAGTAAATCCCACAACAAGCAAGGCCATCAACTCAGAAATCATAAGCTGGTATGGCAAAATCCCCAGTTCCCTCTAGGACTAATGAAAACATGGAATGGGATGGTTGGTCTTCAAAACTAAAACAAAACTGGCAGTGGAATCTCAGCAGTCATGAAACCAATGGTATACATCAATTTTCTGCTGTGGCACCATCATTCCACTTTCTGGGAGAGCGCATTTGTTCTCAACTCATCAGGAAGGGGAGCCCATCAGCCACCTACAAACCAGTGATCCCTGTTCATGCATACCCCTAGAGCAGCATCTGGGCTTTGTACTGGTGGTTGTTCTTTTATTTCAGATGAAGAATAGTCTGCTAACAGCAGCCAATAGATATCAGTGGAAATCACACAAAAGAGCCAGATGTAATTCAAATGTCGTGTGCGAGATGGTTTCACCTGATATTTCTTAAACCTTGAATTACAATGACACTGTTAATAAATGGTTATCTAAAAGTGGGAACCTCTCTTGAAAGTGTAATTTGTTTATGGGAGTAAATAGAAAAGACTAAAATATAAGATACTGCATAAAAGTTGTATTTCTACTTATGTATATTCTGTCTCATCAAAGAAATGGCAATGTTGATACACTATCATTCTGATTTTGAAATATCTCATGTAAAAAAGCACTACTGGGTTTGGTGATACCATATTGAGGACTTTGGACTGATATATTTGAACCCGATTTGAAATTTTATACAAATTTCACATGCATTTTGATTTTTAATTATAAAAACCCATGGTCCTTTAAAAATTATTTTAGGCTGGGAACAAGCCCAGTGCAACAGTAATATTAGCTCTATCACATATGAGCCTGCATCTGAAATGAAGCAGCTCCACAACAAACCTAAGATACCAAGGAGCTTTCTATCAGACTCCCACTGGCACATTCTACTTTCCGCTATTATTTTCCTTGAGAAGAAAGCCTCATCTGGAAGACTAAATAAAGTGTGACAAAAGCTCATGGTTTTTGTTCTTAATGTATCACACCATAATTTTTGTTGTAATTATTTTTCACCTCCTTGATATGTTCAAGGACTCTGCTTATACAGTTACAGAATAAATATACGAACATCAGTTATACCATCTTGTAGGATGGTGATAATTGCAGATTTGTACATTGTATAAAAATATCTGACAAGGTTAAAAATTGCATGATTAAATAAAGCTTTTGAAACCTTTAATGCATCATAAGACTTTTATTATTTTATTATACTCTTCATTCTCCTTTCCAGCTATGAATTTTCAGGATTTATTTGTCACTATTCTCTGTTTTTCTGCTGTACACAGTGTTTGTGGGCTGTGGCAACCAATCCTCTTGGGCTTTCTTTCCTTTAATTTGCATAAACACAGACATCATATGAATATTCAGTGAGTGGCTTTGCATTAAGTGCCCTTAATCAGATTTTCAGTTCCGTTTTATTGGTTGCCCACACAGTCAGATATTTCACCCAGAAAATCTGAGGGCCCTACAAAGCTAACCAGGTAAGGTTTGAATTCTTTTAATGCATTTAATGAAGGAGAACTAGCATTTATTATATGGATTCTGGAGACGACTCAAATCTTGCTAGTTTGATCAGGGAGCAGCTATGTATGTATTTTTTTTATCATTATTATTGCTATTGTTTTTATTGTTGTTATTAACCCCAGATGGCCAGATTTGGAACATACTTCTGTAATTTGCATAAGCATCAACTCTTAATGAATAATACATAAGGGTAATTTTAAACACTGGCCTCCGAGTGTGGCAGGCTGTGTAGCACCACGGTTTGATTGGCTCTGCAACATTTTCATCACTGGCAAATATTCCTACAACATGAAAGCCATTAAATAACCTGAACTAATGTACAGTACCTGTTCTTTGAAAATGTTGGCTATCTTTTCAAAGAGAATTGCATTAGTTTCCCCTCACGCCCTCCCAGGCTATAGCACTTCTCGTTTTCCATGAAAAACCTGTTACGAGCTTAATTGCGCCTGCTGTTTGTAGCCTTGACCAGCGCCTGAGATTCCTGGGGAAGGTGATATCAGCCTCAGCTGTAAATGTCTTTAACTTGCATAAAGATGAGCAACACATAAATAAGAAACCCTCACATTTATATGCAATATGCACCCTCCCATTCACACACTGGAGGTGTCTTCACTCGCTTCTGTTTAAGCTGGGATGCAATTTGAGAAAGGAATAGTCACACTCTAAATATGTTATTTATAAGGCTATTTTGATTTTTCTGCTATCCAAAATGTCATTTAAGGAAGGATAATTGGAGGCATGGAAAACTAAGGGAAGGAGATAAGGCAAGCATTAATCGAGGACTCAGCACTTGGGAAACAGGGTACAGAGAGCCAAAGCTAGTGTATGTATTGAAATTACTGGAGATAATTCGCTTCCCTCTCCTTATTCTTAGCTTAGTACTCAGCTTTTGTGAGTATCTTGAAATGAGCCAGTGGAGGATAAAATAATCACATCTAAAGCTTTCTGGTTACAGATGGTTCTGATCCAGAAGCTCATAGGTCCATGACCCTTGGAAAGGGTCATTGTCCCAGGCAAAATATAATGTATGTGAGCACCAAAGATAGGCACATGGAAAAGAAAAATTAATGAAACAGAGTTGTGATACACAGTAAGATTTAGGGTAAAAGTCATATTAAATGGAATGTGCAGTTAGCACATCTATCCTTTAAACTGTATCAAGTACAGCTATGCATGTGCTTCAAAAACGATAATGAGGAAAACTGAGTTGTCCACGGGTTTGGACTATAGATACAACCTATAAACCTGAACAGCTGGATTTTATCAGTACTACATTGCTAAAATTACATGTTAGATAGACTGCAGGTGACCTTGAGTAACGGGAGGCACATGGTGGTGTGTGAGGCAAGTTGGTATGTTTTCTATCATGTTGTAATCTCTAATGAGAAGATGCTGAGCAAAGAAAGCATTTTCACTGCTGGTATCAACTATTCTTGTAGATCCAGTGCAAACCAAAACTAAAAAAAAAAAACTGAAAAAAAAAAATAAAAGAGAATGAAGAAAAAGCAAAAATGCCTTGTTTTAATCAATAGTTTCCTCATTTATGGCAGTGTTATTTCTTCAAATGAATATTTATACCATTTCTTTTATGACATTAAAGGAAGGCCTACCAGGAGCATGTTTTTTTATTTGACTTATTTTCCATTTTTTTTTCCCTTTAAATCAATACCTGGTATTTTGAAGGGGAAACACAAAAGTGGATTAAAACTTAACATGTGAAAATAGGAAAAAATGTCTCTCATGATTAGATACACTTATGTTAAAAAGAGTTGCATTTTATGCAGAATTACTAAAACTAATTTTAAATTTACATCTCCTGCCAATCTGAATTAATTAATTCTTTCAGGTTTTAATAAGTTCACTGTGCATTTAATCATCAGTCATTAAATGTTTACATCTACCATAAACAGTAAGTGATATTTAATGTGTTATAGGGATTGTAGGGCTGGTAGTTTTAAAAGAATATGCTTACCCTAGAACTAGATGACTTACGAAAGGAATTCTGTGAAGGAATATCTGTAGTAGTACATGCATTATTGCTGGGATGTAGCACCTCCCTCTGTGCTAAGCCTACCCTCATTATCTTTTTTCACAATGAAAAGATAAATAATTTGTTAATATCCTGATGACATTGATCTGGCCTGATTTTAATGCTTTTATCATTGCTGCTCAGGTGAAATTTCTAGAGGAGGTGTAGGGATTTTACATACAGGAAGGACTTTAAAATTGAGCTTTTCACCCTTATTCGTGAACAGTGGATGGTGCCCTTGTTGGCACAGCAGAAAGAAAGAGAGTTGCTGCCTGAGGTATCTTCCGGGAAAAAAAAATGAGGGCCAATGAGCACAATTTAATTGCGACAGGATGAAGTATCTGGTGGGAAATGCTTCAATGTCTTCTCTGAGCAAGGATGCTCCAAAAGTCAGAAACTCAGCCCTCCACCCTGGGTGCTTAGAGATAACCGTGACAAACCTGTCCCTCCTGCACACATTTTGACTTGGCTGAGGAACTCACCTTGATACAACCCTGAGCACCTCTGAAATATGCATCACCAGTCCCCATAAATATACAGCAGTTTCCATTTCATCTTCAAAATGAAACCATAATATCAGGTGAATCAGTCTCATCTGTTTTATGCAAGAGGAATCAAAAATGAAACAGTGCCTGGCCTCATAGTGCCTGCTGTTATTCTTTTTTTTTTTTCTTCCCTAGGGTAAATAAATGGAAGCATGACTTCAATAGCTATGATTGGAGAGTGAACATTGAACTTAATTCATCCTTAATTGCCCAGCAATGGGGGCTAGCAACACATGGATTTTAATCCAGCTGTTTTGGAGTTTTTTAATTGAATTGGAATAAAAACAATAAGGGAATCTGAATGCAAAAGTTCCCACTTCTACTGTCTTTGCTCCTGCAGTCCTTGCGATGGTGCACTCCAGACTGACGACAGCATGGAACAAAACCTGTGTTTCTGATATTGGAAAATATTGTGGGGAGAAAAAGGGAGCAAACAGGCTTGCAGGTTTTCATAGACAGTTTTAAAAAGAAAAAGAAGAAAACTATTTTTCATTTTCCATTATGAGTAACCTTTAGATAGGCACAGTATCACTGATTTTGGTTGCTGTTCTGGAGGACTATAGGAGTAAACCCTAAAAAGAAAAATGGCATGAAACAGTAAATTAGGATGCTTATTCACCTTTCTCTCACCCCAGTTTTACACCAGTGTAACACCACTGACATCAGTGGTAGTACTGCTGACTTACCTTAAGGAAAGGAAGGAGAAAATCAAGCTCGAATTTTTTACAGCTTTCTCAGTGACAAAAAAAAATCTGATAGATAGCTACTCTGCCAGTGTCGCTGTAGCCCTTGGTATAAACTACAGATTTAAAACATGTGCAGCTCGAGTGTATTTTACCTTTATATATGCCAAAATAGTGATGCTATGCTGACACCTGGTAAACAGGTTTTTGCCCAACCATTTACCCATATACACGGCTTGCTTAGTGTATTTATATCCATTTAATCTTCCTCAAATTCTTCTCACTTTCATAAACATAAAAAGTCTTTTGAAGATTTTTTGGTGCCTACCACTGTTAATTAGCATTTAGAATGAAAGGTTTGACAGTTTATTAACAATAAAAAAAACTATAAAGGAAGGAATCATTTTTACATAATGAATGGCTCGTTTGCATATCTAGAACTGTAAGGTGGATCATACTCATGGGGATTCCTGTTTCTTTACGTATCAGCTGCTAGGGTTATTATTATTCTCAAGTGTAATGGAGGGCATATTAGAAAAACAAAGTCTTTCTAATATGTGTTGGCATGATGCTACAGGAACAAAAGGCTAATAGCCCTGAGTTCTGTACAACACATTTTTACAATTGTAGAATAAATGCATCTTCTACTTTCAATTCATGTGTTCTGTTTTGGCTTGAGATTTTTTCTCATGGGTCTTTTTTTTTTTCTTGTTTGGGGGTTGAGGAGTGGGAAAAAGACCAGAGGAGATGTTTTTCAAGTACATTTTCAGAGATCAATTGAAAACACCATTACAATCAGGTTTCTGTTACAGGTAGTCAAACAGAAATCTGCTGGGGTGAGTTTGGCCCAATGAAAGATAATAAATTTCAATGCAATTTAGCAAGTGCAATGTTTCATTCTTGGCTAGGTTTGGCTATAGTTTACCTAAAAAGTCTTGGAGAAGTCACTTCAGTGCCTATGCTCTTCTTCTCTAGTGATCATGATGGGGTGAGCTGCACATTGTTTAGGTTTTGTCACTAGACACCTTGTCTAATTGCACTTGTGGTTGTGTCTTTATGTCATGGAAGAGGGACACTGTTATTCTCTTGAGTCCAATTCCTGGGAAAAGAGATGGAGAACAGGGACTGTGGGAAAAACAGTTGCCACCTGAGCTTGCTGCTCTCTGGCCTTTCAGGAATAATTAAGAAAAGACACTATGTCTTGTAATTCAGTCCCAGGTACTAGCGCACACTGATACAGAGAAGGTCTGGGGTGCAAAAGAAAGTTCCTACACATCTGCAGTCACTGTCCTCATCCCTCCGCAGGGAGAAATGTCATCCTTCTAGCTCAAGATGTCTCTCCAGGAACATATCTGTTAGGGGGATCTTTCAGTTTTCCTCCACTCTGATGGCCCTTCACTGGTCTCCTCATCATCTTTGCATGGGTGTTGCAAGATATTTTTGCTTTGGGTTTGGTCCTTGCACTTGTCAAATCAGGGTTATTTCAAGAGTGGACCACTGGGGAATATATCTCAAATCCTCAATTTTGCAGCAGAGGAGTTCCTCTGGTGTCCCCCAAAATCTGGTTGATCATTCTACTAGAGGTCAAATGAGTGTCTTTGAGACTATTTACTGTTACCTGAGATAGGTAACAATGATCAGAAACGAGGGGTAAGTCTTGTCCCCAGCAGCTGGAGGAGAAGAATACCAGAGGCATCTATAGGTCCCCAAGCTTACATTTGGGGCATTTTCTAACACATATGAAAGAATTAGAAGGATAAGAGCAAAATGCACACAGTTTTCATCATTAGGCACATTTCTGTAGGTTTATGATGCATGAGAAATGTTTGTCCCATGTAAGGTACAGCATCTCTGGGAGTCCTGTAGTGTTATAATGATGTTGTCACTGTTGATGACAACAAAATTTAGGCTTTTTGTTCCTGTTACCTTCTCTGGGAGCAGGACTGTTTTTCAGTGAGACACTGTCACTTTGCATAAGCTGTGGATGGGGCCTTGTCCCTACATACTTATATACTCTCTTTGCACACGGGGCTACAACATCTCTTTTAAAACCTAATGTGCGTTGTGTGTGCATTCAAGTTGAGGACCTCTTTTTCAAAATGTTTTCCTTAATATGTTTTCCATAATATTCCATACCATTCATCATGCATTTCAAAGGATTGGTAAATGCTGCTAGAATATTTAGAATATTCATATATTATAAATATATGAATATTTAATAATTTAGAATATTTCTGTCACTGTGATCTGTGCTTTAGGAGTTTCACTAATTGGTTTGTGCCACTTAATTTTAAAATATTGTAAAGTTCCTATGGAGCCTTTTATTTGATTTTTTTTTTCAAACGAGTACAGGTTTTGTTCAGAAGTTTCTGATTATATAAAAAAAGAAAAAAAATTGGTATAAGGCCATTGCCATTGATATATAGGCAGAGAAAAAGTGAAATCATCAGTGAAATTTGTCATAAGCTGTACCGCTCTAGAGTCCTTAACTTCTCCTGCTCCTGACTTCAATATCTTAAGTGAGTGAGGGTTTTTTCCATGAAAAATATTAAAATTGGATCAAACCATGCAGTGATTGCTCTAAGTGCAGCAACGACTTTCCATACTGTAAATAACTGATGCCCCACTGTCCTGCAGGCAGTGCTTTAGCCTGCTATTAAAGAAAGATTTTTCTTGAAGCATGTCTTGCTGTTGAAGGGCTCTACCTCAAGCAAAACACCAGCAGCCACGGTGGTGTTATTCCTGATGTCTATGTCTCACCTGTGTGGTTCATGAGATGCTGCTGTGAAGTTAAAGCTTGCATGTTGGGAAGGCGATCTACTTTTGCTCATGCTGCCATCAGAAATAATAGCTCCATTTGGGAAGAGGACCTTGAAATATGGTGGGCTTGATTCTGTGACAAACACAAGAGAGATTTTCATGCACTTTGGAGGATCATTTTGAGCAGAGGAAAAAAGGATGGGATGATGGGAGAGAACAGCTGGAATAAATGCTTATCTCTAACATACATTCTGTCAAATCTTGATCAACCTAAACAAGTTCAGGTTTGTACTGGGGAGAGGGGGCAATAGTTTCACTCTTCACCTAGTACATTTAGAAGCATTTATGTTTTAAAAAAATCCCTATTTCTTTATAGGGACAAACATCTCTTAGCTACAGACTTCCCCCTTAAATGTATTTTTACCTGAAATCCTGATCTCATATATGAAACTGCGGGACAGTAGCATTAGCTGTAAGCTTCAGTACAAAATTAATGTCTTCCAAGTCAAAAGGGTTTTAAAATATTATAAAACTACATTTAAATAATCCAAGTGTATGATTTAGACCACTTCAAACATCATCCCTCAGATATTCCTGGTCCTTTTTTTGCTCATAATTGATTATTCATTACTTCAGTGCATTATAATAACCTCTGAATAAATCAGGGCTCCATTAATCTGGGCACTGTGCATGGAAAAAAGGAGGAGGAGAAAAGAAGAGAAGGAAACACAGCCCACATTCCTGAGATCACACTACATAGATGTGAGGACTCTACATGAAATAAACCTGAATAAAAGATTTACACGGATTGTTATTTATAATGTCACATTTTTTATTCATTTCCCATATTTATCTCAACAAAATTCAATCAAAGTCAGTGAGAACTTGACCTAATAAAAAGAGTCTCTATGTGTAGTAGATCATTATCTTATCTGAACATATCATTAACTGTAAACAATTGAACCTGGTATTACTCACACCAGGAAGGTATCATTTGTCCTGCCTCCAAGGAAAACTAGAAACAGACTATTGAAATGATTTCTCCAAGGAAATGGAGTATTTTGTAGCAGACAGAGAAATACAGTATTTGGCTCCCAGTCATTTGCATTAAGAATCCAAAGATTTTTCCTCTGCTATAAGCTTGTCTAATTTTAAAGGTTTTATTTGTAGAGATAAAAGAGATGGTATTCTCAGCCACCAAAGCACTCAAGTGGTGTCTCAGAAGGAAAGGTTCTACTACTGTGTCTTTTCCTTTGCTCATTCTTCCCTCAAACACATTATGTTATTTTTATAAAATGGGTCCCTACCCATTCATGTCAAAAGCACACAGAATGTATGTGAGGAAATGAGAAAAGAGTTATAACTATGCCTTTTACAGTCTTTAGATATTTGCTGTGTTTAATTGTTGCAGAGACAACCCCAAAGCTACCAATACTGAAAATCAAAATCATTGCCTGTGGATTTTAATTGGCTGTCTCCCATTTGGGGATCATGGTAAGTTTTGCCAGTTTTTGAGGAAAATAAAAAAAAACCAAACAACACCCCACCATAAAAGTTTGACATTTAAATTGAAAACTGAAGAGTTTTTGTGCAAAATGCAAACACTTGCTACCAGAGAGTAGTGTCAACAATGAGAAATATAGCATCACTTATGTAAGTGATGCTTACACAAATACATGCTGAAAAAAAATTGAAACAGAAAAAACTCCACCCAACTGAATAATATAATACAAAAAAGGAAAAGCAGAAGATAAGGGGGGAAAGATCAGAAAATAAGGTACCATTCCTTTCTCAATCTGCTGTGACACACTGTCCAAGGGAAATTAACTCATCCTGCTCTCTGGAGGGAGCCTCACAATTGCAGGAGAAGAATTTTCCTGATGTGATCTTATGATAAATTTTCTGGAACATGAAGATAATTTAAATCTATCAAACTACTGAAACACTTATAAAACTTAGAGTTAAGATATACTCAAAAATATAAATAAAGCATTTCACTAATTTCTCCATGGTTGTAGAACTGCATTTTTTGGTATCAATTATAAACCAAATATTAATGCTGAGTGAATAATTCACAATTAATATCTTATTCTATGACATTAGCTCTTTTTGCTTCTTGTGGAATATTTTCCTTTTATATTTTTCAATTTGATTTGGTGTGACATCTTCACTAGTATTTCAGCAGAGTTTATTGCCTTCTCTCCCTGAAGTATTCAAATATGCATCTCTCTTCATTCTCATGGTATGATGTTTAGGTTCTTTGTGATTGGGCAGATTCATCTCCTGGTGTTGTGTAAATTACCTGATTAGATCAGTGCATGGACTTTCCTTGCATTAATACACAGCTATGGATCTGCCGTTCATTTTCTTCAAATATTTGTGCACATGGGTATGAAGTCCACCTTTTGCAGATACTCATGCAAGTGAAATGTTATTGAATGTCTTTTTCTGAAAAACAAACACTTGTAGAAGTTCATGATGGCTGCCCCAAATTCTTCAAACAATTTACATGAATATTCTCAGGTTTTCTTGAGTTTTCAATTTTTAAAAAAAAGTTTCTCAGACCAAAGTTCTTCCCAAATGTTTATCAGGAGTACAAATATTGTTTTAGGTCAAACTGTCTGAACTCTGTTTTTTGCAACACAGCAGCTTTGCTGCTATTATTGCTACCAGCCTGTATGTAGGAGTCCCTCCTTTTCAAGATCAGTCCTGGAACACACATATTCACACCACTGTGTGGAAAAAAAGAGGGGAGAAAAACGTGTTAATTCATTTACTATGGACAGTAAATCTACATGTGAAGGATATTGTTCACAGGCAAACAAATGTGAAACGTCAGTCTTATAATGATCATGGTAAGATTTTGCTTTAAAATAAGTATAGGACTTCATTTTGCCTCCTTACTTTCAGGGCTAAAACATTTGCAGAGAAACATTATGAATTCCCTGTGTTTCTTATTAAACTCTTCTGGATTATGGATCCTTTTTCATCTCATATCATGAGCCACAGAGGAAATCTTGGGAGACAATGAAGCTCTGATCACCTCTCATGAAAGTGATGTGGGTATTCTGTTCCTATTCCTGAAAACTAAAGACAAAGAGATGCTAATTTTAATTTGTATATCTATTTTTAATTCATATCTTCTTTTTTTCAGAAGTTCAATGACATTACTTGTATCCACAGTGTAATCCCACCATGAAATGCACGAATTATATAATACCAGCAGGACTGCAATTTCCTTTCTCAGCCAAATAATCAAATAGTTCTGTTACTCTGAGCATGTAGAAAGGGAGGTCTAATTTGAAATATCTGTCCTGTTTAAAAAATACGCATCATATTTTTTCACTTTATCCCTTTCCTCTCAGAAGTTCATCTGTCACCTGATGATACCACGTGAAGAACATTTTAGTTGTGTGAGAAAGAAATTATTTTGTTTTGAAATGTCTTCCTCTTTCTGTTTTTAACTTCAATCCATATTGAAGACAAATAAATACTTTTCAAACTTTTTCTGAGTGTTGAGGTGAAGTTAATTCTATATTTGAACATTTTATATTATTCTGCGCCTGGGATTTTTTTCTGAGGAATAAGAGTTTCTTCTGAGTGTTCATCAAGACATTTCCAGCAAAACCAGTTCCTGAATAAAAATTAATCAAACATCAAAATATGCAAAACTTCTGATGTAAAACCTGCCTTTGTTTTTTAAGCAAATGCAGATACATGGTGTCACAGTGTATTGTGCCATCTTGCTCAAATTTTGCCATTTTCTCACAAAATGCTGCAGAATGAAAGGATGAATCTGGCACAATGCCATTAGTGCTGCTTTCACAGCAACTCATTTCCACCCTGTTGCACCAGCTGAAGTATCCCCAAACAGGAGTAAAGCAGCACTTGGAGCCACCAACTTTTCTCTTCTTCTGAACCTCTAAGTCTCATCTTACTGAATCCTTCAATATTGTTGAGGTCTTAAGTTATTTATCAACAGTGTCTTCAAAACTGATTTGTTCTGTGGCATGTTGAAGTGGGCATCTGTTAAGTCATTAAGAGATATTTTCTCTACCAGTTATTAGGTGCCCCTTTTTTCCTGATGTTGGAATTATGACCTGTTGCATTTCATAAAACTCTTTGTTAATCTATGAGATCATATTCAACTATGTTTCAGTAACAGAGTAATAAACTTATTTCAGAACTTCTCATTCCCCCTGAATTTATATTAATTTTAAACAATTATGGGGGGAAAAAAAACCTCTTGAGAACTAGAACATACAAGACTAATCCAAAGATCCATTTTTGGTCTGCAAGTGAGACTGCTTAATGACATTTTTCTTATTGCCAAAGCTGCTGTGATTGCAGCTCAGACTCTATAGCAAATGAAAGCCTTATTTCTAACTAGTAAGTAATATCAGGTGAGATATTGACATTTAAGTTTTCAATGCAAACATTAAGAAAATTTGTTGTCATTAATACTTTTTTAATAATGTATCTAGTTTTTCTTTATGATTTAAACAGAGTATGTAATACTTGGGTCCTAATTAAAAAGAATAGTACTCTACATGACCAAAAAAAAAAATCAGTGTTTCAGATATTATCTATATGGCTAAATTGGGTTTTTAGAACGTTGGGACAACAGTCACTCTTCTCTTATATTAGGATAAATTTAACCTCATTGAAATTATAATGGCATAAGGGAAATCAGAAATGATTCCCCAAAGATCCCAACTAAGTGCAAAATCTGGGTTTTAATGTATGCCATTAAGTGACATCATGCAAATCTTTGGAGTACGTAGGTTCACTGAAAATATTTCTTTGGAAAAGCTGTCAGGATTTTTAATGTTTGGGTCAGCGAGATTAAGTGTGCTTAAACAGATTAACAAAACGGTAGGGGATGAAAATGAGTCTTTAAATAAGGTACAAAAAGTGAATGTAAGGTCAACAAAATAGAAAAAGACAAGTAAAATAAACTCTGCATGTATAGAATGTCTGCAAACAATGCAGAAAAAGTGCTTTAATTTTTTTTTTTAAATTGTGTTTCACTAACTCCTAGTTTACTTGTTTTTCATGCAAGTGGAACAATCATTTCCTAACCTGCAGAAGCAAATATAGCATCTGAAAGTCAAAATTGATTCTCCTCTCCTCCCGCACTGCCTACAGAAATGAAGATGTTGCAAACTAGACTTACACTGTCATATACCTCACTCACTGGGATTTCTGTTCCAACTCAATATAAGGAAAAGTTTCGTTGGTGATATTGCATGAGTATGTGGAAGCCAGTGTGAGCTCAGCATTGATCTTTCATTTGCCTGACCGGCAAATAAAAATGTGGAATTTGTGTTGAAAACTCAGTAGTCTGTGACAGAGCAGTGGTAATTTTCATCTCTAAGCCTGGGCAGATTTTGTGTTTAAGATTTGATATAGAATTAGTGAGCATGCATATAAATCATATTCCACTTATAAAGTCAATTGTCAGAATAATGCAACATCCTGTGGGAATTACAAAGATTTTCAAATGGATCAGTGCAAACACTAGATATATTGAATTTAAAATATTTCCTAACTTAGAAGAAAAGGAAAAAGAGGTATAGCTAATTTGAAAATCATGAAGAGCTAGAAAGCTTGCAGATTGAACTATTATTAAATAACAGGTTAATAATTAATAATAATTAAATTAACAATATTTAATAATTAAAATATTAATAAATAGCAGGTGGAAGTTAGACAAATATGTAGTTTTGAACCAATAAATCATAAGATCTTGGGTAATCAATACTTGTAGTTTTAGAAGATACATTGCAGGTGTAAGAAAAAAGAAAAAGTAAAGTAGGCTTAATAAGAGTAAGGGTGAAGAGAATTTACTGTTTGCTAAACATGAGAAAGAAGAAATTAGAGGTTTGGTTTTTCAACATGCTCAGAATTTCTTATTGCATAAAAAATGAAAGTATTTAGGATTGGGAACACAAAATAAAACACATCAGTGATTTAGATGCATGACTATTGTGTTGAAAAGAAATACCATCTCTATAATGAAGAGAGAGAATTGATATTGATGATGATGAACATGCTGATGTTGATTGTTAAGAACCACTCTCAACTGCTTGTTTGATTTGTTTAAGCGAGAAATGTACTGCTGACTAATTGTTGTTGCCTGTGTTACAATGGTTTGGGTATTGCAACTAGACATGCACATTCTGGAATAAAAGCCTGTGGATAGCCGATGAATATTTTTACTGGACATTAGGCTCTACTGGAGCTTAAACAATATTAGCAGCCAAAGTATAAACATAAACTCTTTTCTGTGGTTTGTGGGTTTTGCAGACTCTTCCATCCCCCAATTTTATTTCATCAGATTCACACAAGCACCATGTTTATCTGCTCTCAATACTAGAAACTTTATGAGATACTAGGAAATTTATAAGTCAGTCTAGAAAATGGTAGTTTCTCAGAAGCAGGAATAATAAATTGATGCTGAGAAGGGAAGAATTGGTTCTTTAAACCATTATATAGTTTTAAAAGGTTCATTTGACTGCTGTTCAGTTTGCCTTGAAGAACAGGAATGTCATTATTCACACCAAAGACAAATTCATTTAAAAGGTCTGAATGACACAAGATGGAGCTGCTAATGATAGAGTCTAACTTCAATTAAGCAAACAATAAAGACATTGATAACTACTCTGCAGAAACTGACAAATACCCCTGGAGATTGGAGGACACTTGCCAAATTGAATGAAATAACAATATGCCAGAGACTAATCTCATTATATGTTTGTTTTCATATTGACTATGCTAGGGTTTTGCCTCTTGATTTGATGTTCCTCAGTCTCAGGCTGTCTGTTGTGATCCCAATCATATAACAAACTGAAAGAAAAAAGTACTTCCAAGCTAAAGTGACTATTTAGATCAAATCTGAACTGATTTGTGTGTTGATAAACTTCCACTAACATGAAGAAAATGAGTGGTATCATTTAGATATGATGACAATCTACCTCTGCTTTATGTAAAGGAGAATAATTATCTTGCAGTTGTAAGCAAACTTGCAATTTCAGATTTGGAACAGGCAATGTAAAGGTTGGCAAGATATAATCGATGAATTTGGCTTTTTGCATCCTTAGCATGCGATCTATCATCTTGGTGAGTTCGTGAGTCAGAAGACATAAACTCTTTGCTATTGACTTAGTCAGTGCAGGCACTTCATTCAAACTATGAAGGAAAATGCATTTGACATCTTATTCTACATTTCACTTACACCCCAGATGGTACCCTGAGACCATAAACAGTGTAAGTGCCTTGTCTCTCCCTGAGGCGTTGTTTGAATGTGAACATGCTTTCTGTAAGGAGACTTATTGAGAATGGACTCAGATACACAATAGGACAAAAATCAGTCAAAAGCAGCTGCTGCTGATGATGATAGTAGAGCATGACATGACTACAGGAGGGATATTAACATGTGCATAGATTTATTCAAAACAAGAAACCTGTCACTTTCTGATGTCCTGATTTATAACAGGTGTAGTTTTAAAACATGGATTGAGACTTCTTTAAATGTCATTTTCATCTTCCATTTCCTGGGTACAAATTATATCTTGTCATTACAGAAATATAATTACTCTTTTATATAATTTGAAGCAGAAAATAATAGTGTGATCCTCTGCACCATGGTGACACTTTGCTTCTCTTTTCTTTAAAGCCAGACTGATGGTATCTTTAGTTGTATTCCAGAACATTCTTTGATGTCTGAGAAGCTCTTGGTGAAACTTCAGTGCTGCAACAGCATCTGAAAAGGGACTGTTCCATGAAAGTTTGTCAAAGCTCTAACTGCACTTTGTACATTCCAGTATGTGTAGACTTCCAGACAAGGCAGTCAGCAAACTTTCTGCATGTTTTCTCAAGTGCAAATAATACTCCAAATTGTGTTTTTGTGGATTGTTATGACTGGAAAACATCTCCCTGTTGTCTTCTGACAGTGCTGATGATAAAGGTGAGAAAAAATAGTACTGAGCATTTTCCTTCAAATATTAGATTCTGAGTCTTATAATGAATACCTGTGACAAAATTACCTCCTGATTTTGTACTGTTTACATGATTACGTTTGTCTTACTAAATATGTGAACACAATTATTTCACAGGAGTATGACATCATTGGTTTTCATAGGAACACTCCAGCTGGTGACAAAGGACTAAGACAAGGGATTCTATTATTAGGAGTTATTATATTTTATTAGTATACCTTCCTCATTCCTAACTCTCACACCAATGAAAATATCATGTAGCTTCTTTTTCCTTTATCTTTAGAAATAGTTTTAAAAATCCGTTTCAGCAAAGAACACTACTATACATAAAGTCTAGTACCCTCCCCTGTGTTCCAATGATTAAAGCTTGTGCCCACTCTTCTAGAAGATTATATGGTATGATGATATAGGGGATATATTGTATAATTTGACCTGTATTTTCAAATATGTACACAGATATGATATAAGCAAAAATACTTACTTTCCATTCATCCATTCTCTCTCCATCACATTCCTGTCTTAGTGTTTGGCTGAGGAGTCTTCCTCAGACCACCACAAGCAGAGTATGGGTTCTCATGACCTCTCCATTCAGCAGCAGATAGGCTGGAAACTTCAGAAGGAACCTGACGGCTCCAGTGAGACCATCCTGTATCTCATGTCTCATGTTCCCCTGGGCCAGGGGGAAATCCTAATTTTTAATATCTGCATTGACCTTTTGCAGGTTCCACATGCTCCCTTCAGAAGAGGCAAGCTGGTGTTTTCGAAATTTATGTTTATGTCCTCCTTCTAAATGCATTTGGAGAAAACCATACCAGACACAATATAGCCAGTGGAATTATATTTTTATGAGCTTCTTAATGCCACAGAGCTGGATAAGGCACTGATGGTCAGTCCCAATGGTGCAATTTATACTG